GCGAATTCGAATAAGGTACGATGAAAGCAAATATTTTCCCATAATGAACGAGTTACATGTATACCGGATAATACAGTTTATTATCATAATGGCACTAACAAACGTTACGGGTTTGTATGCAGAAAATGCAAATAGATACATACATATAAATGTATTAACATGGCGTTGTTAACCGGTTGCTATTCAATTTTAAACATTTACTTTGCTACGGGTCACTGATTACTTAAACAATTTTAAGAAAAATTACTGCGACGAATAAAGCCGCTGTATGTGCTCATAAATAAGCGGAACCATATTCAGCAAACAAAAGAAAGTCGAAGAGTTCAAAATAGTTTACCGAAAGGCTTTTTGGAATACTCGTTCAACTAAAATATTTCGCGAACCTCCTATCTAGGAGTCAATATTTACATTTACGTGCGTGATTTTGGAGTATGTAGATTTTTTTTTGTAAAGAAGTTTTATATTACATACTAGAACGATATAATTATAATATGGCACATAAAACACTAAGTTTATTTTTTTAATTAACACTACTAGTTTCAGACAACCTTCTGCACTTTTAACTTAATTAGTAACGGAGTCCTAATAAACTTCACGTAATGCCAATATAAAAACGAATAATTTGTAATATTTTTAAAATCAAAATCGAATTGGCCTTTATGTTATGTTCCGAAAATATCTTTACCAGAAATTTCGTCCCCAGCACCGGCGAAATTTTGGATGGCGTAATTAAAAAAAAATAGTTAAAAGGAAAAGTAAATAAAGGGGTTGCATACAAAGTTAATCCTTCAAAATGGGCTCGAATAACCTGGAGCTTGTTTGCGAATTTTGCTAATTTATTTACCTAGGCTCCGCCACGCGTCTACACAGTTAATTAAATTAAGTACGTAATTAACGCAATTAGGAAATGCATTTCTGGCTTTATTTTGTCATTATATGAAACCAAGAGAAATGAAAACACGAAGATAGTTCGCTCCACTAGATAATTAAAAAAACATAAAAATGCAATAAGAAAAGTAACAAAGTAGAGAAGAATATTATTCCATAGTTTCAAATGACAAAAATGGATAAATAAAAAATAAAATGCAAATTAATTTGTGCTCAAAATAAATCGATTTTATGCGATCATGTCATAGTGATAGATCGATAGATATGTTTATCAATTTCTACTTCCATTTAGTCAATAATTTTTTTCCACTTCCTGTTGTTAGGGATGGGCAAACTTCGGTTTGGCCTTTTTATTACAAATATAGTGGTGTCTTGAACTACCCTAAAGATATCCAAAAAATTAAAAGTGCAAAAAGTAAAAAACTAGCGTTACCCCATTTTTTCGATTACTTCTATAAAATTGCGCCCCCTCTAAAATTTTATTAAACTAGAAATCTCCCAATTTGCGGAATTTGTCAGTTTTCGGATTTTCTTGTGGGTCGCGAAAGACATGCATTCTAAAAATTCACTTAAACTAGATCAGATAAAACTGGCGAATATGCTCGAAGGCATGTGGTTTTAAAATTCCAAAGGGGAGGATCAAACGTGAGACAAGTCGTTTGAGGCCACACAAGCCTTAGGCAAGCCGAGTACTAAACAACTTATTCGGCAGGCAGCGGTAATGCACAATGTGCTCAGCTGGCACGAACGAATAAGGGTCGTTTTTGGTTCGTTCTTGCCGGATTAAGAGGGGATTTTGTGGCTGCCAATAGGGAACTTGAACATTTTTTTATTTCTTTAAAAATTTTGTTTATATCAAAACTCAAAACCCAATATTGAAGTTGCAATAAATAATTCGACACCCGGTTAGTCCTTTTAAACGACACTAAACGCGCGGGAATGATTGTGACGTCATACCGCTGCTTTTCGATCGAGACGGCGACATGTTATAGTGTTATTCTCAGATTATAGGCCGAGAATTATATTATTTACGTTTATTTTTGACTCATGTGATGGTGTGTTTGTATTTATTCTACGCCAGTTTGTATTTGTGCTTAGCGTTCTTTACCCGATTATAATGGAAGCAACAAAACACAATATTACAAACCACGCTAGCGTCTTTTTCTCAGATAAACTTTTTATTCGTCTACCAGGAAATAAAAGCCGTCGTTTTTTGGTAAGATTACGTTCAGGTACCACTTTAGCCTTAAGCATGCAAACATTTTTAGCTGTTCGAACTTGCACTCATCCTATTGCAGTCTCCAAAGGAATGACTTCCTGACCTACATAAAATAAAGAACACTTTAAGTTATCAATGTCTTTTTTGTTGAATAATTTGTATTTTATTTGATATACTATTTGAATTTTAAAAACTAGAAAACTTTAAGCTAATTACAATTTTATATTGGTTTAAAACTAGTGACTAAATTGCCCATGAACATAACTTTTAGCTTTAACACCGCGAACCTCAGCAAAAGAAAAACTGTCGGTGTTTTGTATGTAAGGCGTCACCATACACATATCCACTAAAGGTAAATTATCGGATTGACCTTTTAAAAAAATCGGCTTTGGTCATTTTCAAAACTTTCTTTTTGATACTAAACACCAGATAACAAAAGCAATCAACAGGATCAAGACTAATATTAAAATGAAAACCATCAAGCCGAACGCGTTGTCCTTCTCTAATGGTTTCTCTATGCTACCATCCTGCTGTCGCGTAGTCTTACGAGCGAATTGACGTCACAAACGGTCATAGCCAATGACAGCGCGTTTCAAAGAGGATTTAAATTTTACAATTTTTAATTGCCTATATTTTTTATATAGAACTACGAATTTTTTTTTGTGAACTCTGGTTCTTTTAATAGTATAAACTCTACTCTTATACGTAATATTTTTTAAATTAAAATCTTGTTCAAGTTCGCTATTGTACATCACAACTTTTAAGAAAAGCGCTCTTCACATGCGGCTTTAATATTTTTTTTTTGTTTTTTTTTAACTGAAACTTTCCACACAAAACCTTTGTTTTTTTTTTTTAATTAAAACACCAAAATCATTCAACCTTAATAATTTTTTATAGAAAATCCAAACTATAGAAAAGTGTAGTAACTATATCTTGTGTCACGGTCTATACCTGATTTAGGTAAATTTCGATTGACTGGATTACGTATATGTCTTTTAGATTTTTGCAAAATTGCAACCATTACCGTTTCCCACTTACCAACATGGGAAAAAATATTCATATAGAGCAGCAATTTTTGCTAATAATTACTTCCGAAATAAATTTTCGAAGAAATGTAAAATAAATCGTTATTCGCGAAGAATCTCTCATAATGATCGTTTTATTCATGATAGTACTGTAAAAAAATAAAAGGGAAAAAATAATATTTAAAAACTGAGTATCAAAACTTTTACAGCAGGACGCAGAATAGGAAAAAAAATGTTTCGAGAATCATAAAAAAAATTGATAGCAGAAAACGGCAAATTCTTAAAAAAAAATTAAAAAGAAATTTTCAAAATAATTAAAATATGTAGTTGGAATGTTTGGAACAATCAATAACTCGTTAGATTGTATTTGTATCCCAAAGCGACTCAGTTGCGATTCAAAAGTGGAAATAGTGAATGAGTAAACAAAATCTTGAAAAAAAGAAACTTTGGAAAAGTTAATCTTAAAGAGAACTTGATTAACTAAAATAATTAGAACGATGACTTCAAATCACATTTTGCAATCTTTAAATCGTTTTTTGCCGAAAAACAGAAAGTAGCAAAAAGAAATTGCAAAATACTATGAACATTTTTCATAGTATTTCGGTACGTATTTCAATGGATTAAATTGAATCATTCGACCCAGAGAATAAAACCCGGGGCCGGAGCCCGTATAATGTAATGTTATGTTAGGCTAGTTAAAAATGTTAGTCAATGAGAGCCACTTACTGTATATGAAGACACAAACATTAGTAGACATAAACAGAAGCCACAGGCGACGGCACTGCTTTCGACCGCAATATATATGTATATATATATATATTTTTAACACAGTAGTAACTGGTTGACACTGGGTGATAGTAACAACAGAATCGTTTGTGATTTTATACAGCACTACAGCGCTAGAGACAGCTTTGCTTGGATGTTGGAAAAAAATGCTAAAACACTAACTAAGAGGTAAGTACACTGGACGGCTGTCTGAACAGAACTGAAAACTCGATAACCGAACCTTAAAAGTATTTAACGTTAATTTATTATATACTATGGAAAATGCGTTAAGATGATATTAGGAGACCCGATTCTTTTCTTTATTTGCAAACCCTTTCAGCGAGTACTTCTCTTGTTTAAAAATGACCCTGGGTTGTTCAGTAGTTCACGTTAAATTAAAACATAAAGGTTATCATTATATAGAACCCTGAAGCTACACGTCCTGAAGATGGAATACATATTTACTTAACTATCTTTTTAACTACTCGGTAGAAAATAACAAAACTTTAGTATTGTTTTAGGTTTCGTACTGTTCCGGAGACTCAGTGGTACTGTATACTGTTGGAGACAGTTTTTGAGTAAAGATATGAACGGTTAACGTATTTATCGCTTTATTTATACAGTATAATTGGTTTTTATTAGAAAATTTCTTCAATCCATTAGTAAAGTGTGAAGTGAAGTATGAGTACATTTAGTATGAGTTATTTTTATTTATAATTACTTATAATCACTGTTACTATTAACCAAAATTTTGTCTTTAATATTTTTTGTCTATATTTTTATATTCTTTAAAGTGGTTATTAAAAAATTACAATGAATAAAATGGCAAATTTTTTGTCCTTTTCTATGGAGTTCTATCGAAGACCTACGACAACCAAAATTGATGATCTTTTTGAATTCTCACGTATTCCACAAGATCCCAAGTATTTTTTACACACGTATATTTGGCATACGAAATCGCAAATATACAGTAAATTAATTTACCCTTCGGAGCTTCGAAACAAAATATTTGAGTTACGTTGTTTGGATTTCAGTTCTGTTCGGCGCAATGTCACACACAACAATTAAAACCCTGCAAAATATTAACACAAAACAGCCAGTGGTTTGGTCTAATAACTTTGGTTTAATAACAATAGAAAATAAAAGGTACATTTCAATCAAAATACATGCTCAATATGTATGTATATAAGGTAGTATAATATAATGTAAAGACCGAAAATAAAACATAATAAGTCACTCAACAATTACAAAGAAAACTATGGCTTATAGGAATAAAAGAAAAACTAAAAAACAACAGAGGATGCCTACGCGCTTATGCCACGGAAACGGAAACAACTTTTACAAATAAATCAAAAGAAAAATACCCCCGAGAACGAAAAAACATTGAACCCAACATAACATTTATTAGTGAAACATCCTCGTCAGTAATTCTAATACAGCCAAAAATTGAACCAATACGGATGATGATAATTTTTTTACGTCAGACCACGCACAACAATCTCACCTCGAAACAATAACAAGTTTGCTACAAGAGTTGCCGGTAATATTAAACAAGACCTTTTCTATTCTTAATAGGCGTATTAGACTTTAAAAACACAAAACGGTGGTACCTACTACCAACACATTCAACTTGAAGATCAGTCCTAGTTCAGTTTACTTTAAATCTATTGAGCCGCATGTCTGTTTATTAGTTTCACACAGAATCTCGTTTCTTGTAAACTAGTAGAAGCGATGCAACCCAATACTTCCGAATTTTGATAACGCCGAGTAGTTTCGCGTGAGTCTATTAAGCCTATTAAAAAATGGGTGATGGAGAAAACATAAAACGATTTAAGGTAAAACGGATGAGATTGAAGTACAAGAGCGAAAATTCCCCCCACAAAAATGGACTATGTACTCTACTGGTTCCCAGTAAAACTTATGACCATATACAATAAATTGATTTATTATTTTACAAGCGGTCTCGGTTACGGCCGCAGTTAACTAGTAAAAATATCTCACAGTTCGTAAAAATAGCAGCTAAATCCTGAGATGGGCACACTGCACTGGCAATGGTGCTTCTTTGTACAAGGAAAAGTACAAAAACTAATTTTTGGGGTTGACTGGCTTACTTCTCTTTGGTTAGTACGGTTTGGAGGCCTCTTTGGCGCGCTTCAGTTGCACCTTCAGACGTTTTGTGCCTATTTGGAAACCGTTCATCGCTGCGATGGCCTGTTGAGCGGACGATGCGTTATCGAATGACACGAAACCGAAACATTTCGACAGATTCGTCTGTTTGTCTATGAACACCTTGGCTGATATCACAGGACCGAACGGGAGGAAGGTAGATGCCAAATCGGTGTCGGTAAATTCTTGCGGTAAGTGGTAAATAAAAAGGTTACAACCTTCTGGACCTGAAACGAAATTGGTGCCGTCAGTCGTTGGTATTTTTCCTGAAAGTTACGCGTACGCCACTGGGATCTCGGAAACGGATAATAGAGAGCTAAACTTGAGCGCACGTGAGTTTGAATATCCGAAAATATGGCGGAAAAATTGCATTTTGTTTTAAGCTTCAACCTGCGCGAAAGTTAAAAATTTCTTCTGACAAAATATTTGGAGGGAGATATTTTTTGTATGCTAGTTTTCAAGTCTTGGTGATCAGGAGCTCTTAAATGCTCGAAATACGTTCAATAAAGTTGTCAAGCCTGACAACTGTTAAAGCTGATGTATTTTCCATTCAAAATAAATAAGAACTAAAAGTTCAGATTTTCACGAAATTATGTCATTGATAAAGACACAGTCAATGTTGTCGAAACAATTGTAATAATTTCGTGAAAATCTGAACTTTTAGTTCTTATTTATTTTGATAAATGGATTTTCATTAAGTAAAAGCCACCTCAGTTCTATTTTCTATTCCCATTTATGGAAATTTGGTTCGAGAAAGAAGAAACACTTTAATGGAAAGCGCAAAACAAAATGTTTAGTTTTGCCACCATTTTCTTGGAAATTCCAATGATAACATAAAAGGTTTGCACCCTATCTGGTACCGTTTCCTAAAGCCCAATGGTGCGATGAGCGTCGAATTTGCAACGTCCGGTATAGCGAAAACTGATTAGATTCAGAGCTATCGGCTGTCGGACATTTAATGTTATGGGTGTCTTCATAGGAAAACTGTGTCCACCCACCGACATAATCATGAAAATAGTATATTATGCAACAAGTGCGGACAACGGTATTTGACTCGCGAGTTTTTAATAAACGAGTGAATTAAAAAGTTTACCGAACATGTTGCTTACTATACTTTTTCTACGACCGTTAGTTTTTGCGTACATTTTCGCAAAACAACACGAATACATTCACTGACATGACCGTCAGAACTGACAAACGTCAAAATTCAAGGCGTGGGAAATATCTCCGAAAACATCGGATTGCTCCCAATCCCGTGCGGTAAAATCCCGGAAATGTCCGAAGTGGCTCGGATCCGTGAGAAACGAAACTGACGTGGTAGATCGGTGAGTAACTAGCACTTTTTTCTACTCCCGTCTGTAAAATGCGTAATTACTCGTCGATATAGCGTGCGGGAAGCGTCACTTTACCACATTTCCGAGATTTTACCGCACGGGTTTGTGAGCAATCGGATGATTTCGGAGATACTTCCCACGCCTTGAATTTGACATTGGTCAATTCTGACGGCCATGTCAGTGAATGTATTCGTGTTGCTTGGCGAAAATGTACCCAAAAACTAACGGTCGTAGAAAAAGTGTAGTATGCAACACGTTCGATCCCTCGTGAGTCAAATGCCGTGTACCGCACTTGTTGCATAATATATTATTTTTTGTATGTAGTTTCATGACTACATATGAGACTCTAAAATCCTATTTAGAAATTTTGAACAATGGCCATTTAAAAAATACAAATTTGGTTTTAAAAAATTGTTTTTTCGGTAAAGTAGAACCAAATGGTAAAATTGTAATAAAAAAAATTAAGTAGAGTAGACTTGGTTGACACGAATTGGTTTAAAGTCTGAAAAATATAATGCATAATTGTTGGTTATTGGTTTAATTATATCGGAGAAAAATTGAAAGATTTTCTCGATTTCCTTAACATAAAGTGGAGAATTGAATTAGTAAAATCTACTTATAAAAGGGTAAACCGTATTTTCGTGATGTTCTTGTGGGATACTCCATTATTATTAAAGATGCCGTTTGCACCGCACCAACTGTTACCAGTTTTGAAAAAGCAGATTCTGAATAGCACCTGTAGTGTCTAAGCTACGAAGGTAAATTTAAAAATGTTAATATAATATATTTTGATTTTGTAAAACCTTTTTTTTCAGGATCGTCAGTGTCAGTCTGATACTTTTGTGCTTTTGTGTTTTTTATAGGCTAAGTGAAGTTCTCTAAAGGTTCTCTAGGTCACAGTAAACTTACTTAAAGTAGAAATTACCAAAAACTTAAACACACTATTTTTGGAAGTTGAAACATTACCTAAATAAAATTTAAAATGAAAATCATTAAAAAGAATATAAATATAAAATAAAAAAATATTATGCATGTACGATTATACCATTTTTCAAGTCAAGTCAAGAAAAAAACGACGGCTTTCTTCAATAATAACAATAATAATAATAACGGAGTTTCCCATACAGCACCATATAATTTTTTTTTCTGGAATTCTCTATAACTACACACTGTAAACCATAATTCCTGGTTATTAACTATTTAAAAAATTGCTCAATATTTTAACATAAACATTACACAAAAATACCGCAGATTGCCGTGGAGTATATGAGAGTAATATTTTAATATTCCAATAATTTTTGCATCCTAATCATGATGTCAGAAGCTATAAAAATCCAAATAAAATCCTAACACTTTGTAGGAGTAAAATGTAAATCGCTGCTTGTTAATCGAGGCCATTAACTTCTTTGCTAGTAAATCTAAAAATATTAATTTTAAACATTAATGATGCAGCCGATATGTCTCTGAATCGCACCAGTGTTACCAATCCTTTCAAAAGCAAAATGCATTTAACATAGTACGACGCAAACCGTTAAGATCGAGTGGAAACAAAACGCCGAGATATCGAATTTCGAAAAACTCGTCGACCTAATCTAGGAAATGGTTTCGTAATCGTGCAGTAAGCTCTTTAAACTTTTTTGAAAAGTTGATCGATTCTTCGCATGCAGGCGCGTGCATAAAGAAGCTTTATGTAGCCAATTCAATTCCAGTACGAATTTAGTCCCAGATACGCAGCACATGTCTGCTTTTCTTCCGCAATCAATTTTTGCCAACGTTAAAATATATGCGGCGTGGACTTTGATAGCAGCAATCGTAGAGCAGCAACAAGCATTCAAACAACGAGTATTAGGTTGAAATTAATACAAATTCGAACCACGTCATTTTGGGATCTCGGAAGCTGCAGGGGATACGAGGATCGTTAAATTGTAGCATAATTTTCGGTGAAAAGCAAAAAGTTGAAGAGTTCGTTTTTATTTTTTCTTGGCCTAAGTCCATAACTAAAATCAAAGGTTGTGTGGTAACCACCTTTTAACACCGGGCAATACCACCAACTTTATTTTTTTCTTCTTTTTAAATCTAAGTACAGTTTATGAATTTGAAACAAAAAATATTTAAAAACAAAGGAATATCACCTAGTTGGTCTAGATTTCACAAAGAAAGAATGAACACAGGCCACACGTATTTATAAACATAATCGGTATAGTTGCATCTGAGACGAAATAGATTAATTTTACACTATAAGTTGGTCATTTATTAAAAAAAAAACAAAAAAAATGGAATACCTTTCTTTGTACGGAATTTAATCACATCTCATCCTTTGCTTTCGAAACATTTAGGTAAAATTTATCTTTATCTTTTTTTGAGAAACGTCGGTTTTTATAGTCGTTAAAAGGTCCTTTTTTGGTCTGAGGATGTTTCTACAGTTTTTTTTTTCTGTGTTGATACATCTTTTGGTAGAAACTTAGACCTATTTGTTTATATTTTTACGAATGACATTTTACAAGAACTGAAATGTTAACTAAGGTGGTATTTTTCCTTTTTACTTCTTTTAAAAAGATAAATTCTATCTTAGTGAAATCACAACAAAAAGAACTATTTTTAGAAATTAAAATAACAATAAAGTGAAACAAAGTGGCAATGAAAGTGTCAAAATCGATATCTTCAATTTTCGAAATACTCGGAATTGTTTTCAAACAGAATATTGCTTAGGCAGTGAAATTAGTAACATACTCGTATCGCCTATAGTTTCCGAAATTCCAATTGTGGGGAATGAATTTGAATTACCCTGCATGTATTCATACTGTAGGAGAGATCTCAGAGTAAATTTAATATTGTGTAAAAGTAGCGGTAGGTAGTACAATTTTTTATGCTGGACTGATTTTAACCCTCTCTATTAGGAACACTTATAAAACGTATTGCGAATGTTTTTCTACCATTTAGCTAATTGCCATCAGAATTCACAGCTAATGTACAGTTTATCATTTCTCTAGCAAACTATAAATTGACGGCCTTCCTTTTCTATTAATAAAACCCAACATAACTTTTAATTTTTAAATAATTATAATTGCTATATGTAAAATAAAGGAATTTTAAATTAAAAGTCCCTAATATTCTATACTCGAGGTTATAAAAAAATCAGGGTTCAGACTGAATAAGCATTTTGGAAGAGCTTCAGGTTTCATAATTATAATCATGAAATGATGAACCGATTAACTCTCAAAATATAAATGTATAGGATCACAGATAAAACAGACAGCCTGTATATTGAAACTTATTTGATGGCTCCACTGTATTTTCCCAAAAAATTGTATGCGAAGCTTAACAACAATGTTAATATTCGACTTCACACTTGTTCGTCAATTAACTATCAATATTAAATAAGCTAAAAACAATTTTATTAACAGTTTTATTAGCTTCCTCGGTGAGAGCCGACAGCGATCTGAGTTGCAGTTAATATTTAACACTTAACTTATCATTTTGCAATGTCTGCCTTCTGCTGAACTGAAGCTGTTAAGCTATCGCAGGAGCATCGCGCGGAAATAAGGCACTGTTAAAATTGGGTGAAACTTTGCATATGGCGCGTTCAAATCACGTAAAAAGAATAACAGACGATTTCGAAAATTTTAAAATAAAAATAGCCGAGTGACACTGAACTCATTGAAAGACATTTAAAATTAGAATTGATTAATGGTAAATTTAATTTTGTTGAGGGCGCTTCAACGTTCCATGCCTTAAATAAGCAAAGCTTCATACCTACATAATGTCACCTTTGCGTATCTCAACCACTTCAATACCATGCAAATAAAAATGAAATAAGTATGAATAATTTACGAATACAATTTTCATTGCATTACGACACATACGTTTCGGCTTTAGCAGCCTTCTTCGGACAG